AATTTCATCATCACTGGCTTTAGTGGTTGGTGTGTAAGTTTGACCCTGTACAGGGTTTCTGAGAGTAGCTGGTGGGTCTGAACTGATGACTTTGCAGTTACCAGCCTAATGCTTGGACTCCTGGTGTGGCAATGTAGGATAAGCACTGAACTGACAGTTCAAATGCACTAGCCATTCCTTGGAAATTGATGGCACATAACAACAACAGCAAGTCCCATACTTATCCTACTGCAATCCAAGGCTTTAATTTTTCCCTCAGTTCACTCAGCTTGAGAAATGTTTTATGTGTTCTTCCCTTTGGGCTTTCTAACTCTAGGTTTTTGCACAATTCATAGTAGGCTCTTTTAATACATTGGTAAACTTTACGTATTCTCAACATAAATCTTAGCATAGGAACCATGTGGCAATTTATACATATATATATATATCTTTAACAAAGCCATAACAATTGAGATTCAGAATCTGACCCTTTTAGTTAATATTTAAAATCAATTCATAATTATCTTTCCTTGAACAAGATAAGATTATAATAAAAGACCACAGTCAATTAAGAAAAGAGGACAGGGATGGTGTATTACTAACTAATTTGCTCAACTGTAGGGCACTGCTTGGCACAAAGTTGTTGTCAAGTGCTGTTTAGTTGGTTCTGAGTCATAGTGACCCTGTATAGGGTTTCTTAGGCTGCAAATATTTCCAAGAGCAGCAAGCCTCATCTTTCTCTCGAGGTAGGCTTGAATGCTAACCTTGTGATTAGTAGTCCAGTGCTTACCCTATGGAGCCACTGTGCTCCGGGATATAGCAATAGCACTAAGAAATTGCAGATCTTCCACTATATTTGGTTTGCTACAATGCCAGTTTCTTATGGTTCAACCTGACAGCAATGGAATCTCATTTAAAATACAGTAAAAAGCACCTTTATGCTCAAAATAATTCATCAGAGACTGAGAGTATTCTTTTCCTATTATCTCCACTGATTAACTGCTAACATCTACATTTACTTCCCGGCTCTGTTGTCAGGGTTTCAGAGGTGATGTCCAGAGCCTGGCAAACATGTCACATCTGGTGAACGTTGTCATAAGAATCCTCTGGCTTCTCGATATAAGGGTCTGCCCTGCAACGTGGAGAATTTCATGGAACTGTGTCAGCTGGGCCAGGAAGGTAGCAATTCACATTACCCATTGTTCTTGAGTTGACTGTGACTCACAGTCACCTACATTTGAAAACTTCAAATATTCTGTGGCTCTTTTTGAGCAAAAAAAATGCCTGGGAGATACAAAAGTCAATAATAAAAGCCAGTTTCTACAAAAACTGACTCCAGCTATAAGCCAGTTATGCCCTGGTAACTTTGTATGGGTGAAGTTCGTACGTATCTATCAATAAGAGTTAGGTCTAAAGGCCAAAGTTATACGTCTATATTTACTATCCACATGCTCTTACTTACTCATTACTACTTTTTATGGTGCAATATGGTAAATATGTCTCTAGTCCCCACACTGCCAGCACCACCAATACCCTCAGTTTTGTTATTGTGGTTAGGTGCCACCGAGTCGGTACCAACTCATAGTGACCCTATGCACAACAGAACGAAACATTACCGGTCCTGGGCCAACCTCACAATTATTGCCATGTTTGAGCCCACTGATGCTGCCACTTTGTCAATCCACCTCACTGGGGGTCTTCCTCTCTTTCTCTGACCCTCCATCTTACCATTCTGGCCTCCAAGGAGCACTCTGGCTGCACTTCTTCCAACACAGAACTGTTGGTTCTTTTGGCAGCCTATGGCACTTTCAATATTCTCTTCCAACACCATAACTCAAAAGCATCAATTCTACAGTCTTCCTAATTCACCATCCAGCTTTCACATGCATATGAAGTTACTGAAAATACCATGGTTTGGGTCAGGTGCACCTTAGTCCTCAAGCTGACATCTTTGCTCTTCAACACTTCAAAAAGCTCTTGTGCAACAGATTGCCTAATGCAGTACGTCATTTGATTTCTTGACTGCTGCTTCCATGAGTGCTGATAGTTGATCCAAGAAGAATGAAGTCCTTGACAACTTCAATCTTTTCTCCATTGATAAGAATGTTGTTTATTGGTCCAGTGATGAGGATTTTTGTTTGCTTGACATTGAGATGCAATCCATACCGAAGGCTGTGGTCAGTGATTTATTCAGTAAATATTTTAAGTACTCTTCGCTTTCAGCAAGCAAGGTTCTATCATCTGCATATTGCAGGTTGTTAATGAGTCTTCCTCCAATCCTGATGCCATGTTTTTCTTCATATAACCCAGCTTCTCAGATTATTTGCTCAGCATACAGGTTGAATAAGTATGGTGAAAGAATATAGCCCCGTTACACACCTTTCTTAATTTTAAACCATTCAGTGTTCCCATATTCTGTTCGAATAACTGCCTCTTGGTCCATGTACAGATTCCTCATGAGCACAATTAAATGTTCTGGAATACTCATATTGTCCATAGCTTGATATGATCCACAAGCTATGGACAACACTGTGCAGGCAACAAAGCACAGGTTAACATCTTTCTGGTATTGTCTGCTTTCAGCCATCAGTACAGATGTACAAATAATACTGCCTCCAAACTAAGCAACTTCATCTTCAAAACATCTCATTCAGGTAGATACTTCTGTTATTTTCTGCCATTTCCACAAATACTTATTTAAAAAAATTTAACTTATAAACTTAACCATAAAGTTCAAATCTTGGAAGTATTTTAATAGTCAGGGAAGACTGAAACATAATTAAATACTTGCTTAAAACAACTGCTTTATGCTGCTCTATTACAGAAGGTTTATAAAGATGCAATTCTGGATTGTAAAATCTGTCAGATGATTAAACAAACATTATATGTATTAGCTAATGCCGATTTGTCCTAGTGGAATCTAAATTTCTATATGTCCTCATATATTTATATTATAACTCTAGGCAAAATTTCATATAGAAATTTAATGACTCACTCTAAGAGGGAAAGTAGTATCTTATCTTGGTATATATATCATACCTAGCACTGTTTCCAGCATTATTAGGAATCAAAGCAATGTCTGTTGAATTGTATTAAAAAGGAAGGTCAGGGAAAATAATTATATTCATTTTCACATGAAAACACATGAAAGCAAACAGCGACTTCCGAAGTCAAAAGGAAATCAAAAGAAATCACAATAGTTACAAGAAACTAACCCAACAATCTAAGATGAATTTCTATTAATGCAATGCTGAATTGTTCTTGCTCCATGAGTAGACTATAATGTTCTGAGAATTAACAATTGACATGAGTTAAAATGTATTTAATTTAAAATATAAATGCCTGTTGCTATAATATCAAATGTGTACAACAATCCAGGCAACAATACCTTTGTTGTTTAAGTGCTGTCTGCCTCAATGTGTTAATATGGCAAGAGAGGGGCCAAAGAAAGAGGACTATGTGTGATCCCGTACTGTCCTTCTCACTATTCCCAAAGAACCCCACTGGTGCAAGCAAGGGATCAGCACTTAGACTCAGCCTTCTTAGCATCAGGTTCCAACCAAACAAACAACTCCATCTTGAGAAATGCAAACTGGTCAATAACGTGTGCAGTGAGACAGTCCGTGAACCAAAGCTCTACTTATAGCTGGCTCAGAACATTAAAAAAAGAAGTTCAAGGAAATCAAAAGAAACTAACAGTAACTAAAATAAGGTATGTCTTTTTGCTTCCAACTATCTTGAAAAAGTAATATGATGCAATACAATAAATCTTCAGTTAATTAATTCTAAGTTTTTGCAACCAGCTCTATACCCTCATCCTGCATTAACACCATCTGTCGATGGTGAATATTTAGTTTTCACTCACAACCTGCTTCCTAACCCTTAGAATAAATGCATCTTCTTAAAAACCAGAAATGTATTCCATTCACCAGAAGGGGGATAAGGATTTATATTTTAAACACACCAATCCCGTTACTTTATAATCTACTGCTGCCATCTCCTGTGTTCATGAAGCAGCACCTTCACACTCATGAACAAAAGTAATGGTGTTTTAACAGGAATAATTTTTATTGGTCAAGCCTGGCAAATTTTCTACATACACCAGAGAAAGAAAAAGCTGAATTCTGTTACCTCTAAGTGACTTCGCCTCTCAGCAATCACACGTTCATCCTTGTTTCCAAATAGTTTCTTTGGAGGGAATTCGAGGGTAGCAAGCTGAAATACATATTTTAAACAAGCTGTATTAAAATCACACCTATAGTCTTTGGGTTATTACTCTTTTATTTAAAGTCTCTGTTATGGGGTCCTGGTGTGGTGCTGTGGGCTAATGTGTCAGACTGCAAAGTCGTTTGAACTGCAAGGTCAGTGGTTCAA